ACTTCATAGCTAATTTCTCGGCATAACAATCCCACTGAATTGGCTTGACTAATTTCATTGAAGGTAATTTCTGTACTTTTCACTAAAACAAATTGATTCTGTTGAAATGTGAAAATGCGCTAACTTAAGGCTTGTACTCGAAAAAAAATGCACAATTTTTATCCGTATGTAACTTTTTTATCCGTTGGTAAAAATTGATGAAAATCTGGGTATAACTAGTTTGGAGTGAATTGTTTACATGTGCAAAATTTCATAACAATCGGTTCAGTGGTTATTAAGATGTCATCGAAACAAGAAGAAAATCGCCGGAGAATTTTGCGCGCCGTCATGGAAAATCCGACTGCGACCATGAGATGGATCGGAAGACAACTGGAAATCACCCATACAACTGTTTCTCGGGTGGTAAAATCGTTTAAAGAGTCCCAGACGACCGAGCGGTGGGCTGGAAGTGGAAGAAAACCGAAGACAGCTGATCCTGGTGAAGGCCCGGAAGGTTTTGGATTATTTCAAGCGTAATCCGAACCTTTCGATTCGTGACGCGGCTCTGAAGGCAAAGTGTTCCGCCTGGTTCGTTCAGCAAACCATGAAACGAGCTGGGCTTCGTGTATTCAAGGTCCGGAAGGCACCGAACCGGCGTGATCAACAAAACACGGCGGCCAAATCCCGCGCAAGGAAGCTGTATCGAGAGTGGTTAACGAAACCGATGTGTGTGGTTATGGATGATGAAACCTACATCACGGCAGACGCAAAGCAGATACCGGGGCTGGAGTTCTACGTTGCAAAATCACGGTTTGATGTTCCGGAAGACATAAGAAAGAAGAAAGTGGACAAATTCGCCAAAAAATACTTGCTCTGGCAGGCTATATGCCAATGCGGTAAACTGAGTAAACCGTACATCACAATGGGTACCATCAACAGCGAAATTTACCGCACCGAGTGCCTCCAGAAGCATCTGTTGCCCTTCCTGCGGTCCCACGGAGGCGAGACATTATTTTGGCCGGACCTGGCAGCATGCCATAACGCGCGATCGACGTTGGATTGGAACAGAGGCAATAACGTTGTTTTTGTACCAAAAACCACCAACCCCCCAAATTCACCAGAGATTCGTCCGGTGGAAAGATTTTGGGCCATAATGAAGGCCAAAGTTTGAAAATCGTCCAAGGTGTTTAAGAATGAGCTGGAGTTGAAGAAAGAATGGATGAAAGTGACAAAAAGGTCGGCTCCACCATTGCACAAAATGTAATGAGGGGTCTTAAGGGAAAGGTGCGGGCTTTCAGCGATGGAAAGGAAATTGAATAAAGTAATTATGCCGAAACATAATCCATATGTATTAATTCATCCACTGAAAGTTTCAAGAAAATCCGATAAATTATTTCATGGAGCACAGAATCATTCATAAAAGGTTGAAAGTACGGAAACATTTTAGAAAATCACGGAATCTGTACTGTAGTACTGAATTACTGCATAATGCTTGAACTCACTTCAGAAAGTGCTGAATCACTTCGGTACCTGCAGACATGAGTAAGCATGCGGTTGATACTCCATTATTGTCAGGTCATCTGAATTACACAGAGAAGCAGCAAACGATTCGCGGGACTAGCATGCATCTGCAATGTGTAAAAACTGGTGATCTCATACTTTACAATAAACAATAACACCACCGGTCGCGTCCAAATGTAGGTCAATTAGGGAAGGGAAAGGCATGTGTTAACGTGATTCTGGCTTTGTTGGAAACCGAGAAATCCTCCTCACATCCGCGAATTTTTTTTTTAAAGTTTTCAACAGGATTCACTTAAGGGACTATTGATTCTTATCGTTAAGCCATATAAGTACTCAACTGTGACACATCGAAATAGGTCTCGATTTTGGCAACATAGATGAAGTATAGTCAACTCTCCACAACTTGATGTCCACTAACTCGATATCGAGCTATAGAACCGTAGTAAACATTAAGGTCAAGGCTACTGCGATAGCGAATTTGTATTGGGATTGATCTTCTATAACGCAATAATTCTATAATTCGATGGCTCCTTCAATATCAAGTTACATTCCCTATCGATTGGTGCACTGTAGTTATGTTTCCAAAAACGAGATCTATTTATTTACATTACATTAGGAAAGTTTGGAATAACTTCAGAAAGAACTGAGCAGCTTGAGAAAAGCTTAGGATCACTTTGAACAGTACTGAACCATTTCAGAAAAGCTTTGCACGTACAGAATCACTTTGAACAGTACTGAACTTTGCAAAAGTTTTGAATCACTTCGGAAAAAATTGGAAACACTGTATCGTTCAGAAAAGCTTGAATTCAGTATGTATAATATTGAATCTCCCAAGGATAGGCTCACTTCCAAAAGTGTTACATTTTCGAGACTGATTTAAAACAATCGGCAGTGATGCCAAACCGTGGCTCTTGGGAACGTCCGAAACAAGAACTTGATATAAACGGAAAAACCTGGCACTGAATCAGTAAACGTATCTCTGGATGTTATTTCAAATATTTGCGTAGTTTTTTTTTTTTCAGAACCTTGCTTTGACCATGAAAATTTCAAGAAATGAATCACGTTTTTTCCTGAAATTTGGAGAAAATTATATTATATAGTATTATTTAAGATAAATAAAAAAAAACAAAAATGAGGGTGCTTGGAAAATTTGACGGAACTTTTAGAAATTAAGAATATTTGCAGGACCTTACCACCTATAGAGAATGGTGCTGGTCATCGTGCAGCTGCGCAAAAGTGCAAATGTTTTGCAAAGTTCCATATCAACTAGATAATACACTATTTGAAACAACGTCATCAACGTCAGGGGCAGACGCAACGTTATTTAAGGCAGATTTATATTTCAAGGGCGCAGGGTGGGTTGAGTGCGACTAATTAGCTCAAATTTTAAGTACACAGCACTGAACACAGCTGAAGAACAAACCCAAATGAGATTCTGTTTATTTGTGCTAATTCTGCAACATCAACAGATAAATATGGTGTGACGTACTTTGAAGTATTTTAAACTGGTTTGTTATTTGAAATGCATTTTAATTCGCAAATGGTCACTCCGGTTGCTGTCAATAATTATTATTCAGTAAGTACATGAATATTGGTTGAACATGCTCGGAGCCTAATTTTGAATTGGATTGGTACTGAATTTTGACATCTGAAAATTAAATTCAATTAAGGCTATTAAATGTCAGACAATATAAAAATTTTGAACGTAATGTTTATTTAATTTTGCATAAAGTTTATAATTCAATTATATTGTAATTATTATTAAATTTGCCAAAAAATGCAATCTCGTAGTCCTACATCAATAATGCGATCGTACTTGGGACACAACCCTTATTTATTTTAAATAATAATGTAATTTTTATGAGAGCTTATTTTTCAAACAAACTTTGTTCCCCCAAATGCATTGCGTTTAGAATATCTCGAGAAGATGTTATACAAACCCAATCGAACCCAGCCGCCTCCAGCATGGTCTTGCTTTGTAGCTGCGGCTTTACTATCTGAGCTAAAGGAGGCCCCTGGTCACCATGAAACTGGCACTCGAATCCATGCTGATGGTTTCCTAGGTGATTCAAGGAATCACTAGTCTAGCTTACACATTTTTCAGACTTTTAATTGTGTTGTCGAAAGCGGAAGCGTTTGTTGTCTAAACCAGAACGTGCGAAAATGTAAACGTGCCATAAACGGAAAACTACCGTACTAGATAACGACACGTTGTTCATCGAAATAAAAATGTAGTAGGACAAGTCAATCTTTCGATACAAGGACCATTACATCAAATTGAAACCGCTTAATAATTCATTTATTTTAGATAACTGATGTGGTCCAAAAACTCGGTATTGGCTTTCCTTTCCAATGTGACGCACATGAATTTCGCCAAGCCCCAAAGTCGCCAAAGCAATCACCGCATTGTTTGGCCCTGAAGTTTTTCGTCTCACGCAGAATTTCCCAATCCAGTCGGACTCCAATGAATTCCGCAAAACCAACCCAACAACAGCTGCAACCGGCAGAGGAGCAATCTTTTTTGGAAGCCCCGCGCCAGTTGCAACATATTTGCTAACATTCCTTTAGTGGCTTTCGCCGTATATACTATTAGGGCGCGTGAAGTTTGTATGATGGATGAGTGTCAAATTTGAACGAATTTGGTTATGATCTGGATTTACGGGGAAATGAAACGAACCAATTCATTTGCTTGCCAAACAAATAAGTATTGATCAAAATTCACTAAGTCTCCGAAAATTTTTGGGAATGCTATGCAGAACATCGTTGTCGAAGACTGCAAATCGTTTAGACTTCTGAGAAATGAAGTTATTATTGTTTTAAGTTAGACCTATTTCTCCACGCATACCTACAGGCGCATATATGACCTTGTAGGTACGTGTGGTACACTTGGCCTAAAGTGAAAAAATAGTAACTTTTTGTACAAAGATCAAATCGATCTGCAGGGTTCGACAAACTTGTTTTGTATGCTATTCTCAATCAAAGTCCAAGATTTGGTGAAAATAGAGCATTATTTGGATTTTTGGCAAACAAATGAATAGGATCGTTTCGTTTCCCATACCCCCTTGTATGGGAAACGAAGCGTTCCTATTAATTTGCTTACCAAAAATCCAAGCCCCCTTGCTTATTACGGATGTCACTTCAAGGTGAAAACTTGTCACTTGTCGTTGTCGTTGTACGGCAATCACGGCTCTTATTCTGAGTATGACTTCCCTATCACCGTGTAGTGAAACCTGTAATAAGGCCCAAGATTTTAAATTCTTCCGCAAATCGAGATTATAACCCAATTCGATCAAGGGAATGTTGGGAACCTGAATACGCATTGAACGAGCTGTGGAGAACAGGGGATTGTAAAGCTGTCCCACCCTAACATACAGATATAACAGCCGCAGCGCTTTTCCACTAGCCTTGGCTCATCTTTGCTATGTACGACGACGATCACGGTTCGCTAAGTCCAAACAAAACCATACTGGAACATTATCAACAAAGAAAAAAAAACTCACCTGCAATAAGCTCCTCCACAATCAGCCAGTATCGATCGATCAGACCGGACCAGTTCCGTCCGGTGTGGTACTCTTCAGCGGCCATCTGAAAGACGAACCGGGACCCGGAAGCAAAGTCCGTAAAGTTTCCGGCAACGCTCATTCTGTCGCTGTTGTGGCTCCTCCAAAATCCGCGCACCGACAAAACCTGAACAGCTGATTCGTTATTTTCACCACCAGCACCACTCCACCGCGGGGGTAGGCACAAATATGGCCTAGTTTTGGAGGTTGGATCTTTTTAAGTCGCGTTGTGCAACCACTCTATTCGGATCAAGCTGCGCGCACTATTTGAGATGTGGAAAACTGCTGCAAAGCTTCGATCCGGCCGTTTAGGCCGATTTATTGATTTGCGTAGACTTTTTTTTTCGGGTCAATTTCACGCCTTTTCACACTCGCGCTACTTGATTGAATCACTTCTTATGTTTAAGATCGGTATGGTAGCACCAAACTCTGAAATCGATTTTCATCGAGTTGAGCTGACGATCGCAAAGTTCTTTACTCAAACGGAGTGGTTCTCAGCCGCGCGCGCGCATTCAAGATTTTCGCAACCTCACCGAACTTTAAGGAATTACGTGTCAACGATCAACTTGGATGCTAGGGGATGAAACCCACCGCCGAACCGAACGAACGTGAAACGACAACTGACAGGTACAGGCGACCAACCGCGACACAAGAGCCTTTTCGCGACCTCCCTAGAGCGAGTTGATCCTAGCATCGAGCACACAGCGGGAAGCTGTTCAACATAAAAACACACACACATCTGCAGCGGAAATCTAGCGGAGAGTTCGCGGAAAAGTCACAACTCACCTCCACGCAACCGCGGAGAGCAGCAGCGAGAGAACTCACCACGATCGAGTCATTCGTCCTTGGCGGTGTTTTCAAGATTCTCGTCGTCGTCACTCACACACACACGCAGAGCCAATCGTGCTGGAGAAAAAATCTCATCGCGGACCGTGATGTGATCGCGTGCACCTCTCGCCCGTTGAGACGGTATCAGTCAACTCTTCCACACTGTGTCACAAGAGCATCGCGATCGTCGAGTCGTCGCGTCGTTCCGGGTCGGCGGTTGCGGGACTTGAGTGAGGATTTCTTTCGCCGGCTTATAGTCACCAGTAAAACATGCGGAATAGCACCTGAGCACATGAGCAGTCAATGTTGACCACGATCGACACTGGCAAGCGGGATTTGCTGTTTACTAACAATTTTCTGCTGATGCTAGCAAATCTGCAGTAAACATTAACTCGGTACAATTGTTGACCGCCGTTCGGTCACTTTATTCGGCCGTTGGCAGTTCATATGGTAAAAGTAGTGCAGCAGAGAGCAATAGTCAGCGTTTACCTGTCCGAATAATTGTGAAGCAGTAGGTCACATTTTAAAAGGGGGAGGTGACGCAATAAAAAACGAACATTCCGAGCAATTAACGGATGGCTCACGTCGTGTCCGAAGTGGCAGATTAATCAATTTTCATGTACCTCGGTTAGTTTTAAAATATTCTATCGGGGGAAAATTGAATAATCTTGATTTGAAATTTTTGAATTTTTGTTCTACCGTTTCTCTACATTTCATGGAGACGCAATACACTTTATAATTTAGGCATATGTTTATAAGTTAAATTTTAAACATTCATACCTATGTATTTTAGAACAGTTATTTTTCATTTGCTTTTTTATTTTTGTTTTCATTTACGTCACACACGAAACTTGACGTCTATTCTCAACTTTGTGGTTTTAGCACTTGCATAGTTGTACCATTTTTGCATTCGTAGAGTTAGACAAATATAGTGATACTCTATGACAAGGGAAGTCTTCTAACTAAATAGCCGCGCTTTTACTGTAGACAATCATAAAAAATACATGTATTTAATTTTTGATTGCTTATTATATCGAATATTTGATTTCATTTAAATGATGTAAATTGTTCAAACAGCTGCTGCGAACAAAGTTTAATTCAATTCATAATTGTTAGGAAAGCTTCATTCCTAGATTGGTCTCAAATGTGGCTACTATTGTATGCCATGACTGCCTTAAGCAGATTTCGTTGATAGTTGTTGTGGCTTTCAGGAACTTTATAGTTCATCCATGTTTTGGCGAAATCGTGGTGAATTGCTTCGATTGTCTGTTCTGAATATCGTACAAGTCCTTTTTTTGCATTAGTGCAAAATCCAGTTATGTGGAATTTAATAATATGAAACTGCGGAGTTGTTGGAAGTCTTAAAGCTTCCGAACTTTCACAAAATTCGTCGATAGCTTGACGATACTCATCAATAAGTTCCATGCCAAAACATTTTTCTATAACCGAGCCAAGATTTTGCATCGTAAGGGCATATTATTTTAGACCAACTTCAAGTAAAACTTTTTTTTTTGGTTAGTAAAGCACGACAATGTCTTCCAGCAAAACCAAATTGCGCATGTCGAGTTGCATTTGCAGCCTTAGCCTTTCGTGCAGTCATTACCGCAAAATAAAGATTTGTTTACACAATTGAAGAAGTCTCTAGCTTCCTTCTCCTTTCCACCTGATGCCATACAACGTTCTGCAAATTGCTTTATCGAACCAAGCGTTCGTGGTTCACCTGTGGTAGTAAAGGGCGAACACGAAATTATTGCGACACATTCAACAGGGCATAACTTTTTTTACCATTGGGTAAAAATCAACCAAATTTTGCACACTTTCTCATTGATGTGTATTGTGTACATGCTGTCAAACTCGAAGTCGTGTTTTTCGATTCAACGAAAATGGAGGTGAACCAACGCGAGTTGAGAGAACAAATTCTTTCCAAACACCTGGAATTTCCTGACCTGTCGCACCGGCAGTTGGGAAAAATGTTGAACATTCACCATTCAACCGTCTCCAGAGTGTTGAAGCGGTTCCAGGAGCGGTTGACGTTGGACCACGGCAAAGGAGCTGGAAGAAAACCGAGACCGGAGAACAAAAAGACGGAGGAAAAGGTGAAGCGGATGATTAAAGCAAATCCCAACGTCTCAAGCCGTGATTTGGCTAAAAAGATCGGCATGTCGCAGAGCTACGTCCAGAATGCAAAGAAGAGAGCTGGACTACATACATACAAGGTACAGAACTTCCCAAACCGCGATGAGCGGTAACAATCGACGGCTAAAACTCGGGCACGGAAGCTCTACGAGAAGATGCTGACAAAATATGGCTGCTGTGTGATGGACGACGAAACGTATATAAAAGCCGATTTTAAGCAAATTCCGGGGTTGGAGTTTTTCACCGGCAAGAGCAAGTTCGATGTGGACGACAAATTTAATAAGAAGAAAATGTCGAAGTTCGCCTCCAAATATCTCATTTGGCAGGCCATCTGCTCTTGCGGACTGAGGAGTGAGCCTTTCGTGACAAAGGGCACAGTAAATGGCGAGATCTACAAATCTGAGTGCCTCGAGAAGCGCCTTTTGCCGTTCTTGCAGCAGCACGACGAAGCTCCGCTATTTTGGCCAGATTTGGCATCATGCCACTATTCTAAAAGTGTCCTGGAGTGGTATGAGGCCAATTCTGTCCATTTTGTTCCAAAGGACATGAATCCGCCAAACTGTCCGGAGCTGCGCCCGGTGGAGCAGTACTGGGCAATAATAAAGCGGGAACTTCGGAAGAGCAAGAAGACAGTCAAAGACGAGAAGGATGTTAGGAAACTTATTATAGTTCCCTGTAACAGCTGAAAGACTTACCTGTAATACCTAAAATACTTACCTGCAACATGTGAAACCTGAAAACAAAATTTATATAATTGTACTTACCTTGCATTACATCTACCTTGAATTCGAACCAATAATATAAATACCGTGCGCATTAGTTTTCCTATATATTCAACCCTGCGCGCTAAACGAACATGCGATAAACGTCAAAAAATAAAATTCATTCCAAGAAAGTTCTCGAAGAGTAAACAACAAACGCTTTTTTTCATCGTCCGAAAGGTTTTGCTAGTCCGTTTTACCGTCGGTTTTTTTCACGGGAAGATTGTGTGTTGAAAGCAGAAAAGGGCTGCTTTACCGTTCAAGACGTTTTCCAGTTGCCTTCGTCGTCGTCGCTACAGATTTTGGTGCCGAAACCCGGGATCATTTCCCGTTGCAGTGTCATTCGGAGGACTTTCACACGGAAAGGTAACCTCAACCACCACGTTGGTTGCTCAACAGCACTGGAATTCATCGAGCAGCAGTTCCTCCAGCAGGAAAATAAGCGTATCATCGTCGTCGTTTGAAACCGCTGTCGACACAACCCAGCAGCACAAATTGCAGTCCCTCGCACGTACAGCAGTAGCCGATTCGTTATTCCCAGCAGAGCGGTGGTCGCCCAGAGTGCAGTTGGGGTTAGGAGGACGCAAGGTGGTAATAAGAAGCCGTAACACCAGGTACTTGACTGCTTTTTTTTGGTGAAGGGTTTGGCAAATAAATATGACGCCCCCAAAGAAGACAAATAAATTAACAAAATTGAAAATTTTACACCGTCGGCGAACCAACGTTCTGGGTTCTGCCAATTTGATCAAGGCTTTCAATGATGCTTACGATCCCACTAAGCAGGATCAAATTTCCGTTCGTATTAAAAGCCTTGATAATTTGTGGCGTGAATTTGAAGAGCTTCAGGATGAAATTGAAGTTCTGGAAGATGCGGAAGAAATATTTAGTGAAGAGCGACAAGAATTTCAAACTCTTTACTATGAGCTGAAGGCCTCGTTGCAAACTAAACTTCCCCCACAACCACCCACACCACCTCCACTTCCAGTGAGAGAAATCGGTCCCGTATCGACTCCAGTCTCGTCCAACATACGGCTTCCTGAAATTAAATTGAAGGAGTTCTCTGGGAATCTCGATGATTGGGTGTCATTTCGTGATCTCTACGTTTCGCTGATTCACTCCAATCAGCATCTCACGGCGGTCCAAAAATTGCATTACTTGCGTGCAACGCTTTCTGGAGAAGCGGCTCGTATAATTTCTTCGCTTGAGATTTCTGCTAACAATTATGCCGTGGCATGGAATCTATTAAAGGAACGTTTTGAAAACCCAGCATTGCTTATCAAACGTCATATGTCTGCCTTGCTTTCGATTCCGTCCCTGAAGAAAGAGTCTGCATCGGGGCTTGCAGAACTCGCCGACGAGTTTGAC